GGGGGGGGGGGGGGGGGGGGAGACTCGACTTTCTTTCTTTTATTTTTTATAGCTTCTTCAGATCGTGCGTCGAAGCTCGTTTAGAATGTACCACGTTAACGTGTAACCACCGTCGTAAAGAACGTTGCTGTTCCGAACGAAAGCGGCGAAGCTTACGTGCGCGATAAAAACTATTTATGCCTCTGCTCGACATTCAACGGTTTATAAGTTGAAAGTGTGTATGTATAGTCGGCAGTCGAGTACAAAGTGGCGCAATTGTTGGCAGTGTTCGTTGGGGCGCTGCTGCGCGGCCACGGTAATTAATGATAACCATCGGTCAGCAATTTAGAAATCTTTTTTTTTCTTTTTTTCCTCTGTTTGGGAAATCGATTGGGAAACGGTGCCCCACTTTGCGTCTCTCTCTCTCTCTCTCTCTCGCTCGCTCGCTCGCTCGCTCTCTCGCGTTCTCTCTTTCGTTGTCGGAAGCGACTGAATTTTCTGGAGCCGTTTTCGAAATAAATCGCGGCACATATATCTCTCATAGCTTTCTTTTTCTTCCTCTTCACGCTGCTCCCTGTTTTATTGATACCGAATCTGATACATTCTCTTTTTGTTCGTTTTTCATGGCCAGGCTGAGTGCAAACCCGATTTGGAGTTGTCACTGAATGGGTAAGCGAACGACTTTACTTATATTTCGTACATAATTAACGCCTCGACTGTGTTGGTCGCGAATTAATTCTTCGACTATCATCGTTCATTTTTACAGCCAGTCTGTTACGCTAGCCTTCCTAATTTTATTAGATTCCGCGAATTATAACAATGCCGACGAATGTAACCGATGTCGGTCAATCTAAGTTTTCGATTTTAATTTTATTTTTATTTTAATAAATTTTATATAAATGGTTTCATTCGATGCAATGAAATGGTTTAATTCGATGCAAGAATGTAGTTTAATTCGATGCAAGAAAACGGTTTAATTGCTTCAAATTGAACCACATTTCTTATTTTTAACAAAAAGCACGATCTGCAATTCGCATTTTCCCTCTCGATAGATCGTTTAGCATCGTTCTTTCTGCGTTCTATCAAGATTAATCGTGATCTTTCCGATAAAGCTTGTAGCATAGCGCGTTTAATTTTCATAATTAAAGAGTAACCTTGTCGTTCGTGTAATCACCGGCCTGTACGGCCTGCTTTTATGCGCACAACAGCGCGTGCAAGTTCATTGGAAAGATCAAGTTCAATTACTCCGGCGAACATTGAAATCGCCGTAACACACGTTGAACGTGGTCAACGTTCTTTAATCGAATTTCGTACGAACGGATGATATTGTTTTGCCGTTGCTGTCGATGCTATTGGCAGACTGCGAACGAGAAATGCTTCGCGTTGATCGCAACGAAACTGCACAGTTCAACGGAAATGCATCGTTACAGAAAACGTGCAAACGATTCGTGGACCATTTGGACAGACGAAACAATGTTTCAAATAATTCATAGAAATTCACAGACGGACCAGAAAATACTATTTCTATATTTATAGATGAAATAAATTCTTCGACCAATATTTCGAACAGACTCCTCGAATAAAAAATGTTCTACTTTCGGTACACTTTCCGAGCATTTTTGGCAAGGTCCGACAGGAACGTTTCGACGATTACGCGTTGCGTCGCAACCCGAGAGCAAATCATGCTGTCGCGTGTCGTCGGGGTTCCCGGGAACAAAGCGTCGCAGTGCGCGGTACCAAAGAGATATTTTCCCGTCATGAGATTCACAGCTACAATTATCCGTCCTTTAGCTAATCGGTCCGAATCTCCAGTTACCGCGGCGTATGTCGAGCTACCGCGACATACAGAGTGTCCCAAAATTATTGCACAAGCGGGAAATAAAGGATTCCTGAAGTAATTCGAAGCAACTTTTTCCTTAGCGAAAATGCAATTCGCGGCTTCGTTTACGAGTTATTAGCGAAAAACAGTGACCAATGAGAAACGAGCTCGGCTGACGTCGCGGCGGCCGAGTCAACGAGCAAGTCGAAGCCCAATTCCGCCGATTGGCTCTCGGCCGCCTCGCGGCGACCGCCTTTTGCTCTCCGATTGGTCCACGTTTTTCCCTGATAACTCGTAAACGAAGCGGCGGGTTGCATTTTCGCTAAGGAAAAAGTTGCTTCAAATAATCTCAGGAACCCCTGGTTTCTCGCTTCGTACACTAATGTTGGAATACCCTGTGTATCCAGAGCAGTCCGACGAGCTCCGCGCATCGGGTTGCCTCTCGTTCTCGGATAGGCGAGGACGACTCCGTAACAGGAAATTTGTTGCAACGCGACGGGATAAGACGTATCATGCGTCCTGTCACGTTATCCCGGTCTCGTCTCGACGGAATAAGAAACGCAGCAAGAAGACCGGTCGCGAGTTGTACTCCGTTCCGACGACGTTCGATGGTTCAGCTTGTACGGA